AATAATAAGGCATCCACCGATAATAAGGCATTTTTCATTTCTGAAAAATAAGACATCCCCTGAAAATAAGACCTAGCGCATCTTTGGGAGCAAAAATTAATATAAGACACTGTCTTATTTTCGGGGAAACAGGGTAGCAGCCAAGCAAGCGGTTAATCGGGCCGGCAGCCTGCAGTGCCCCTGCCTCAGGGCCCAGCAAAGTGGCTATTAGCCACAAGTGGCCCCTGAGGTGAGCGTTCAGCCCCTTTTTCTTTGGCCTGTTTGAAAGCACAAGCCCCAAGCCGCTGCCCTGTGAGTCCGGGGTGCTAGGCAGGAATCAGTCACTGCCTGTGCTTACCCTTGAGCTGCAACCAGCCAGGATCTGCCTGGGACAGGAGGAAGGGCTTCCCCCCACCTTGCCAGCCTTCTGGATCCCAGGGAGGAGAATCTGGACTCTGAGGCCAGGCCATAGGGGTCGCTCCAAGCTCCATAACCTCCCCCCTGAGAGATTCCACTCCCCTCATGCTCTGTAATTTCAGAGCTGTGCCCTCATCCCAGCCAGGCCCTGTGTGTACACAGACAGCCCGTGGGAGGGAGGAGAGATGAGACGCTTTTCAGATGCCCTGTAGCAGGGAATGACACTGGATGCAGCATTAAATGAGACCAAAAGCCTGAGTTTTACATTCATCCCTGGTCCCTAGAGCCAGGCACCTTGATTTCTCTTTCTTTAAACGTGGGGTCATGCTTTGATTTCCTTGATTGTAAAAACCGTCTGCCTTGAGAAGATGCAGAGTAACCGTTACAAGCTCTGTGTCTTTGGTTAAAGATGATGATTGAAACTGGCTGTCTCCTTTGCTTCTTGGCTAACAGCTGGGGGTTTCCCTCCTCCAGGATGGCTGGAGTGATAACAGTGAGGCCCCCTCTTTACACAACTCCCCCCAAAGCCTGGAACAGATGAGTCACCCGGCTAGACACAAGCTGTTTAGTTTTTCACCCTACCGAGGGAGAAGTGCCAGAACCTCACTGGAGTCTACTAGGGCCTCAGCCATTGCTTTTACATGGAAGGAGCCCAGATACCCCGTGGCAGCGTAAACCCAGAGAGAGATCAGAGGGATGTTTAACCTCACCTGAGGCAGGGATCAACCAGCTGGCAGGAGACAACTGCCTTGCCCCTCCCAGCTGTCCAAGGGGTTAACCCTCTCACTGCGGAAACCTGTTCACAGATGGACAAATTGCCCACTCCACGCTCATTCTGGAGGTGTTGCGGCCATTCACACGGCTACCCCTTCTGCTCTGCACTGGGTAAGAGACCTTAAGATCCAAGGGTTGTCATGCCGCTGTGACCATGCGGAAGAAGGAGCAGGAGCAGCCTCTACTGCTGATAAAGGCTGTAGCGTCTCCCCAGGCAAACAAACCCGCTCAGGAACAGGCTCTAGGCCTGAAAGGTGGTACCAGGGGAGGGGAGCCTGGGGAAGGTCAGTGAGTGCTACAGGACAGGTGTCTACAGCACTAAGACACCAGCTCAGCTGGCAACATCTGCCTTGCAGCTGAGCTGAGCGATGGTTCAGCAGAGGGAAAGAAGTGGCTAGAACTCCCCTCCTGTTCTAGAGGCAGGCCCCTTCCTGGCCTGGCACCTTCACCCAGCTCTACACGCAGGAGTGAGGCTGGCAGGGGTGCTCAGCGCAGTTAATCCTGCCCGCACGTTCTAAGATCCGGCTGTTGGCTCCAGCGAGACAGTCCCATCCCCCAATCACACACGCCTCGGTCAGTTTCACACTTTATTGGGGTTTTTAACAAGGAGGGATGATTTCATATTCAACACCTGCAGCTCCATGGGCTGAGCTCCACGAGCCTGTCCCTGGGCTTGCAGAGCAGCCGTGAGTGTCTGGAGAGCCTTGCGTGCCCTCCTAGGCCCAGCCCCCTCGGCTTCACAGTTCAAGCCCCTCACAGAGCACGTGGGGGGGCTGAGGCAGATGTAGGGTGACTGTCTTTACACAGGATGTCATGCAGTCCCTGTTACGAACGACACAGGTTTGAATGACCATTCTTCCCTGAAATACTTGCATTTAAAATGAGCAAAGCTTTCCAACAGCGGCAGCTTCCAGCCGGCTTGAGTGCAACCTTCATAGCCGCTGGAATCCACCCACAGAAAGTCAGGGGAAATAGGTGACAGCCTGTACTGGTACAAATCACAACTTCACCCCGGCTTCGGACACTTCAGGAGAGCCGCACGTAGGAGGACTCACAGGAAACAGACAACAGGTTGCAGTCCTCGCTCCTGCTGGGGGCTCAGGAACTACATGGTCCTCCAGAGATCAGCTGGGTGGGAACAGGTCAATGGCAGCTTGAAGGGAAACGGGCTGCTTCTGGAGGCGGGTTCTCCACCAAACCTGCCCAAGGTCAGTTGCAAGGTGTGTACCATCTACTGCATTTCGCACATTCAGCCTCGAGCCCCAGGTGCTTTGGGCTGAATCTCCCTCACTTAGAGGCATGCTGCAGTGGGGTGAGCGTGGCCCTGCGGCGATCGTGGTGGAGGTTGGGGGAACAGAACCCAAAATGGAGCAGTGGATGGCAACAGGTGAGGAGAGGACAAGGTGGACGGGCTGGCACTTGTTAACTGATGTTCCCGCCCTTCAGTGTTTTACACGAGACATTCCCCAGTCTGGTCATGAAATTCTTCTGCTTCCACTGGGCGACAAAGTCCTCCGAGATCCGGAAGTCAGCCTGGGGAGAGGCAGGTGGGGTGACATGTCAGACTGGCTAGCCAATGCCTGTTCACCGCAATCACACCTGCAGCACATGGCCTTGGGGCTCGGTATCCTTGTTTGAGGCCCTCCCACCTCCCAAATCCCTTGGCACAGGCACACTGCTCCTGGCAGGCCTTCCTGGGGCCTGCCAGCTAAAGGTCTAACAGGGAATGCTGCCATGTAACTCACATTAAGGGCAAAGGGGGCCCTTAACCCTCACTATAGGCACCAATGGTGAAGCAAAGTGGGGGCATAGGCAGACCCTGCTGTAACACCGCTCTCCCGCTGTTTTCACCAGATGATCCCCGAGTGCTTTCCAAGCAATGCGAGTAGCCTCCTAACCTCCCTACAAGATATCCCGCTCCTCATTTTACATTGGGGAAACTGAGGTACACAGCTGGAATGTGACTTGCCCAAAGCCATGCAGCAAGTAAGTGGCAGAGCAGAAAACAGAACCCAGGAGTCCTGACTCCCACTCGCCCTCTCTAACCACTGGACACCGCCCTTAAGTGGTGACAGCCTGCCAGCTGCTAGGTAACAAGACCCCACTGAGATGGACTGGGTCTAAACAGGTCTCTGCCAATAGCTGCCTTCTTGGCCTACCCAGGGAGTACAATCACCCCAGCCCCACTGCCAGTTAACTGACAGCTGGCAGATGCCTGGCTAGCCAGTGTTGTGCCAGCTGTGTTCATCTGCTCCCCAGACAGGGGGGATAGAGCACAGGACTGGAAATTCCAGTTCTAGGCTCTGCTCTGCCCTCTGTGTGACCTCACGTGAGTCACTTTCACGCAGTGTGCCTCAGTCTCCCCACCTGGAAAGAGGGGCGACATCCCCATCTCACGCAGGGGCCATAGAGCACTTTGAGAGCCTGAAGCCGTGACAGGGCTGGTGTAGGCTCTGACTGTAGAGATGGGCCCTGGCCCCAGCAACAGCCAGTCCCATCGTGGGCAAGAAGCTTCCCCCTCTTACCTGCAACTTCTCGAAGACTCTCTTCTTGGGTTTGAGCTCGTCGTCAGGCTGCCCGCTCTCATAGCCTTCCACGTAGACACGCTCCCCTGGGCAGGAGCCTGCCGGCGGGTCCAGGGGCTCCACCTGACGGGGCTCCCCCAAGCTGCGGAGAAACACAGAGAGAGGGGGAGGGAGTGACCAGCTAGGACCTCAAAGAAGGGGCCTGTCCTAATCCTCCCCCCAGGTAGGAGAGCAAAAAGCCAGGGATCAACAGGCAGCCTGGATGTTGTGACTGGTGCTGGGGGACTAGGCTGTATTCTCCCCTCCTGCCCCAGACGGGAAACAAGCTGAAATCCAGCCTCATCACCCCTGCTATCCCTGCCCCCTGCACGCCCTCACCTGGAAGCACACAGCAGCATGCCCTGGGACTCCACTCCCCTCATCTTCTGGGGCTTCAGGTTGCACAGCAGCACCACCATCCTGTCCTGCAGCTGCTCCTTCGGCACGAACTGCACCAGGCCGCTGATCACCGTCCGGGGCTCGGGCTCACCCACGTCAATCTTCTCCAGGTACAGGCTGTCTGCATCAGGGTGCTGCCAATGCAAATGCCAATGCAGGTACAGCTGAGAAGCTGGGAACGGTCATCCCTCGGGAAGGGGGGCTGAGAGCACACATGGGCAGGAAGGCACCCATGCGATTTACATACGCACTCCAAGCGAGTGCTTGAGTCACTCCATGAGGAAACAAGCCCCCCAGAGCAGCCTCCACTTCTGGATGATCCAAATCCTCGCCCCCATTGCTCTTCACTGGCTGCCTCCCTCCTCATCTCAGGCTAGGAGGAGGCAACTGACAGTGCCAAGAGGGAGAATTTCCCCGGGGGCAATTTCCTCGATAGCTGCTCACCAGCAAATGAGATTAACAGGAGAATGTAACAACTAGCTCATCTAGTCCAGGACCTTAACAGGGACTGACTGCCTTTGGGGATAAGTCCCCTCTCTACAATACTATCCCACTAATGAAGAGTTTTGGGGAGCAGCGAATTTCTTCCTGACCCCAGCAGGTGATCACTCGAGGCACTGAAACATCATGATCACTGGCCCCGGTAATTTGCTTTGGTTAGTCCTGTGCTGTGTGACTGCAGTGATGGTTTCATTCGTTAAAGCATCTGATCTTTTTGTTTAAACTAAAGTTATTCGCCTCAAAGTCTTGCAGAAGTGAGTTCCACAGGTTAGCCTTGCTGTGTTAATAGTACAGAGCTGTTTAAGGGAAAGCGTGCCGTCTGGTGGCAGCTCTCACCCCCCACACCATCTTTGCTCAAACACTCCTCCAATTCAGACACAGCAGTGATCATTTCTAGATCCCCACCCACCTCGCTCAGCTGAGCTCCAGAGCATGACCACCACTAACGAAAGGTAAGGCCCATTTCCCAGCACCTGGTGAGCTCATTAAGCCTTGATAATTAAACAGCTCTGTGGAGAAAAACTGTTGTCTAATATGTTACCAAACCACTGCCTCCTATTCTGGTACCAAGCAGCCCAGAGACGCCATTTTGGGGTCAGGGCTCCTGGTGGACAGGACCCAGTTACTAATCTCATTGCTTCCCAAGCCCAGTTCCTCCTGTATGGGGACTTCCCAGGCACAGGACTCTCAGAAACCTCAGGGAAGAATTGCTCCAAGGTGCTGCTCCTGCAAAGCAAACCTAGAGCTAAGCATGCAGAGAGACCCAACCCTTTCTGACAAGCTTGGAAGGATTTACTTTCCTTGCAAACCACTGTCTGTCCCCCCCCCTTTCTTTGCCATCCCTGCTCTCCCATCACAGGATCCTTGTTAAAGCATCAGTACCTTTTCCACGCTGATCACTTTGCCAACACGGATGTCCAGCTGGGATGGGACCACGACCTCAGGGTTTGAATTCTTGGTGGAGTTTTTCACTGAAGCCTCTGCAAAAGAGAGAGTGAGTGAAACCAGCCTGCCCTGAGAAGAGTCGTGCCCAGCCATGAGTGAAGGTGCATTTGTGGAAGGGGTGCAGGGACTAGGAGAACCTGAACTCTGTCCAGACAAGGGTCACTGTCGCTGGTTTGCCGGAAGCAACCAATTCATATACAAATCAAGCAAATTGCAGCCACCCTCATCTCTAATACAGCCTGTGCAGACCACAGATCCCAGCATGCACTGTTCCAGCTTGACTGCAGCTCCAATAGAAATGGAGCACTGCATGCTGGAATCTGTAGTTTCTGGGGTAGGCACATGGCCCATAGGCCACTCATAGAATCATAGAATATCAGGGTTGGAAGGGACCTCAGGAGGTCATCTAGTCCAACCCCCTGCTCAAAGCAGGACCAATCCCCAGACAGATTTTTACATCAGTTCCCTAAACGGCCCCCTCAAGGATTAAACTCACAACCCTGGGTTTAGCAGGCCAATGCTCAAACCACTAAGCTATCCCTCCCATCAGCCCTCGTTGCTGGGGGCAATCCAAGTCAGATGTGACAGATGCTGGCCAAAGAGAGGCAGGAAGAAGAGCTACATCAGGCAGCGAGGCCAAGGCCCGTATCACCCAGACTCTGAGCCTCCCGTGGTCATCGCTGGCAGAATTCAAGTTCCAGAATTTCGTCTGTTTGCTCTTAGCCCCACCGGGAGGACTCATCTCCCTGGCCCAGGCCTTCGTAACAAGATTCCTCTCCCTTGGAAGCTCATGGCATGCGCTTACTGGCTTTAGACAGGTCAGGATACGCCGCACTGGTCAATTTCTTAAGTTCTGGGGTGTTGAACTTCTCTCTGACGGGGTCGAGCAGCTTGTTCAGAGCCACTTCCACCGAGCTCTTCAGGTCCCCCGGGTGCACGACCTGCCACGTGAATAAAGAAAAGGGTTTGTGGAGGAGATTTTCTCTGGGGCACGGGGAGAAGTGGACTGGAAGGGAGGAGCAGTTTCGTATGACTGTGCCCATTTAGACAAATACGTCACTGAAAGCTGTTAGGTGGGGCAGCCACAGTGACTTATGCTGAGAGAGGCTGGGTCACTAGCTGGATGGGAGACCCGCCCCCCAGAGGAATAGCTGGAAGCTGCAGGGTATGGGTTGGTGTCTCAGCCATGCTCGCCTGTGAGTCAGGGCCGCGCCCAATGCTCGTTTGTGGTGCTAGGAGGTGCTGTGGCACTGGAAATGTAAAACTGAAGTCCTCACCATTGTAGTTAGAGGTCTCATGGCATTTTCCCCTCCACTGCCAGCAAAGAGCAGAGACATTACCCCATCACCCTGGTCAAATTCCAGCTTTGCTAATGACATTCCATCTCCCTCAAACTTCCCTGAGGCTTAAACCGGAAACAGATTCTTCTCCACTTGTTATCCTAAATTCTTGGGCAGTGTTGCTCTGCGCTGTTGAACAGCCAACGTTTTCCCACCCAGAGATGGCTGCATTTCCCTGGGGGTGATCTGTGTATTGCTAAATTTGTAGGGTTCATAGAGATGAAAGGCACGGCCAGAAATGGAAGATCATTAACAACTAGACTTACAGACAGAGGATACTGCACCAGCCACTGATTGTCTGGCTGCTCCTGGGCGTATCTGACTCACACCATCATGGCACCTGCACTCACTGGGCCAGAATCTGCCCTTACTGATGCCCCACATGTAAGTCTGTAGGGTTGCATGGGGCAAGAGATCAACACTGACCCCACTACTCAAAGCCTGTGGCAGAGGAAACAGCATGGGCCTCTCTGCATGCTCCAGGGGGGTTTCCATGCACACAGCAGTGTGGGCATGAGGGAGGTGGATAGCGACCCCCCCGCCCCACGTTACCTCAGTCGCAAAGTCCTTTTCCAGCTCTTCGTAAGTTGTGTAGGTTTTGTTTCCTCCCCATTTTGCGTCTCTCAATATCACAAACTCTGTGACACAAGCCGGGTTTAGAGGGTCAGATTAACCGAGATGAAGACAAATCGCTGAAGCACTGTCCCCACTGGCAACTCTAATAATCCCCACTCCAAACTACCACCACTGCCTCCCCCTTCCCCAACAACTGATGAGGGGTATTGCAGCAGGGACCAGAAAAGGGCATGTCATTGCTATGAGCGGACGGTGTCTCCTTTCTGGCTCTGGGAGAGGTGGAGGCAGTGCCAGGTTCTTGGTGCCTTGCATTAGGATGCAGAGAAACACATGCTCGCTTTCCTGCCTCTTGCCTACATTTAAGCAGCCGTCGCCCAGCAAAGGCTTCTGATGAAAGACACCCCCCCCCCCAACCTCTCCAGGGCATGGAGACAGTCACCTGACTTCAGTGGGAAGAGGACGTGCTTGATGAACGACAGAATGCCGTTGTTCTCCACGTTCCCCGGCTCACAAAATGCCTTCTTCAGTTTCTTCTTTACGTCCTCCTTCCGATCCAGAAGGTCGATCTTCGATTCCTAGGATGTGGGAGGAGAAGAGGAGACCTGTGAGCTGAAACCAGAAGCAGGCAGTGCAGCCACTCAGGATCCTGCTCTAATTTAGTATCACCCTGGACGCAGAGGAGTTTTACTTTAGCCCAGTTGTAGGGTTCAGCGCTCCATAGCCAAGCTACCTGCAATGAAACTGAGGGCACCTGTCTCTGTTCTGGGGCTCTCAGCATCTTTCCCTACCTCCGCCCTAGGAGAGGCAGGGTGTGCTGGAGTTGGGACCACCTCTCTCAAGCTACCAACAACAGTAAGAAGAGAGGAGGGCTCCTTTCTCAGCCAGTGGAGTTCCAGGACTTCGCCTACCAGCCCCAAAGGGTTAGACTCCTCGCCCTGCAGGATTGCTGCATAGACTGATGCGGTTCATCAACCTACCTCTTCCGAAGAGCTCATCTTGGTGCCGGTCAGCCCCGGAACCATCGGGTTCATCAAATGGAGGCGCTTGGTATAGCCCAAGGAGGGCAGGTACTAGAGAAGGAAAAGGAGTTAAAAGTCTTTAAGCATCCTCATCTGAGGAGCAGCTTTCACCATCACTCCCCAGTGCCTTCTTCCTCCCTAGCATCTGGGCTCAAGACATCCCCCAATGCAGAAAGCTGGGCTCAAAACATATTGCTGAATCCCAAGTCCCTCTGCTTGGAGGAGGCTCCATTCTTCAGGCAGCCCAGACCCACTCCCAGCACACACCAGTGGGCAAACTGCAGGGGGCAGCGAGTGACAGCCACCACCAGGTGCTGAGAGGGGAAGGAAAAGCCGTGTCACTGTCACCCCTGCATGGGGCAGGGCCCGAGCAGCAAACATTGACCTGGCAGTGCAGCCCCGCGAACAGCTACAGCAGCAGCCACAGTGCACCGACGGGCAGCAGCAGGACCCTGAAGAGAGGTCTGGGTGACCTCACAGATACTCTGCGTAAAGCAACGCTGCCATCCAGCTGCAGGCAGAGTTCAAACACAGAGACCTGGAACCAGCCGCCTGGGGGAGCCTCTTGCATTTCTCCCCAGTTCTAACCTTTTCTGCAAAGGTGAAAATCTTCCTCTGATCCACTCCTCCAAACTGAGCATCAACCTTCAAGTACTCCTCATCCAGGGCCTGTGGGGAGAACATACCCACGAGCGTGACGCTGCAGCACGAGGACTCCCACACCCCAGCTGACATCAGACTTTCAGCGTTCACCCCCTAGAAATCCACCCAGCTCTCAGGGCTGGGAATCCAACACCCATCCTGGCTACCTAGGGATATTGTGCAACTGGTACAAACACCAGTGAAAACAACCAACCAAACCTCCACCATATCCATGCACTGCACCGACACCAGGTGAAGTCCTCGAGATTTGGGCTGCACATCAGATACTCATGCTGATTCGCGTGAAAGAAAATCTGCCCTAATCAGCAGTAGGGGGAGGGGGATTGTGATCAGCCTGGCGCATGCATTGCAGCCTTCCAGGGGACGGGGATGTGTTCCATCAGGGTGGCTGCCACCCTCCCCGAAGGTACCTGCAGTCCTGGGTAGAGCAGACCGCTCAGCAAGGGATGCTCCACTTGCTTCACCACCTCCGCTCCAGCTTTCTTGGCATCGTGCTGGGTGACTAGCGAGGAGAGCCTGTAGACGTCCAGCGTGTATTCCCTGGGGGGGAGAGAACAGGTCGATACTGCTGCTGAAGCCAGACAAATGGAAGCTTCAAACCTTCCTCTGCTATAGCCACCGCACGCAAAGGGGGACACTGGTGGGAGCGGAGAGAAATCAGGCGCGTGGCTATCTTACGCCCCGCCCCCCTCCCCTCCTTTCCTGATGACATGCTCAGAACAGACAGATCCCCCAGCTGGCTCAATATCCCACTTGTCTCCCCCATCCCCGGATTCCTTTGTGGAGCTGGTCAGCACGTAAGATAGCCGAGGCTCCCTCCTTCCATGCCACTTGTGCCCTCTCCTTCATAGTAGCCATCAAATCCCACCGCCAGGCAATGAAGGGAACACTCCCCGTGAGAGGAGCAGGCTCTCGCAAGCTCACTTGCTGAGCTGGTAGTCAGTGCCCCGGATGAATTTCAGCTTGTCGAGAGGCACGCCGATGCTCTCCAGCATGGCCTTGATCACGGTCTCGTAGTATTGCGTGCGCAGCTCCAGCAGCTCCCACGGCGCCTTCATGTTGTCTAGGTACGCGTGGAGGTCAGCGAACAGGATCGTCACCTGGCACAGAACGGGAGGGGGAGTTGGGCACGTCACGCTGGGTGTTACACAGATAAGAGGCGTTACGGTTCCTTTCTGCCACCCAGCATGGAGTTGAAGGTATCCCATGCTCCTGACCTCTTTGGGTCTGAAGCTCCCCTTCTCTCCCTTTGGCCTCCCCAAGATCTCAGCATCTAGAGTAGAGCAGGTACCTCACATCCAGCCTTCAGGAAGTCTGCAATCTTGGACATTGGTACGAAGTAGGCTACGTGAGGCTTGCCTGTCGTGGCTGTCCCCCAGTACACCTTCAGATCTCGCTCTTTCAGGATGGGCATCAGCTTATCCTCCCCGAGAACCTCCTGCAAGGAAACCAGAGGCTGCATGTTACACAGCACAACAGACTCAGTATGCCTACTGACAGAGCAGAGACCACGACAGTCATGGGAGAAGGAAAGCAATACACTGGGCTTGTATCTCCAGGAGAGGAAGGATGGTGTCGTGGTCAATTTGGGGGCTCGTCCGGGATCACTCGACGTCCCACCGGACCGGAGGACCGCTTCCACTCCGATCCCAGGCACCAGGTAAGAGACCCTTGTCTCTATTTGGGCTTCGGTGGGGAGCTGCCCATAGGCTCTGGGTTCAGGTAAGGGCGCGCTGTGATCCGAACCTTTTAAGGCTAGACTCATTTGCCTGACGCCTGTTCGTTTTGTGTGTGTCCGTTCTGTAACTTGTCTGTTTAATTTCTTGCATCATGCTGCGCTCTCTCTATCATTGTTTACTTAGGCTATAAGCTGGAGGGCGCGTAGGGGACTGTCTGTTTTGTGGTGTGTACACGAGGGTCTTAGACCCAACGGTTTCCTTGGAACAGCTTCGGTAAAATTACTGGGACATCCGTCAGGCAGTTAAACACTTCTAGAGTGCCAGCCCAGTATACAAACAAGTTTCGGATGACAGGAGATTATTCAGGCAGGAACAGAAGCTGAATAGGCTGGGTGGTCTCTCCGGGACATAAAGGAAACCATCACTGACTCCAGAACTGAGTGGCCCGAGGACTAGGGGTAAACAACTGAAAGGGAGACATTTGATGCCTTCTCCCTATGTCCGGGCATAGCTCACTATCCTATTAAGGGGGAGGCTGTGCACGGACAGCGTGAGAGAGTGTAGATTGAGGTTTCTGGTCTCGATAAGAGCAAGAAGTATGCCAAGCTCCTATGCTTTGCCTTTATAGCTTTCTACTTTGTCCTAGTCAGCTTTGTGGCTCTCACCCTTTGGGGAGTGGTTCCCCCAGAAGGTGAAGGACAGGCTGCTGAGGAACCCCGGGAAAGTGGACCCCATAGTGAGTAAGGGGGCGGAATCCACTCCCTGGAGCCTACTGCGTGAGGGCGGAGTCCAGGGAATACCGGAGCAGCCGAAGGGGTTGGCAGGGCTCCCACCAGCAATAGGCTGTGTGGCCGGGTAGGACTGTTATAGCAAAGATCCCGAATTAGGTGTGCGTGTGATTGTGGGTTGTAAGAGGTCCCCATCCTTTCCTGTCCGTTAAGTGACGATTGCGTCCCTCCTTGCTCCGAGAGCAAGGAGGCCCCGGGAAACCGCCCACGTACTCCTGGACAGTAGAGTAACCCATCCCGTTCTCTTGAAGGCGGGCCGGTGCTCTCTGCCCGAGGAGGGGTGTGCGGGGACCAAGCCTTTCCTAACCTGTGTGACTGACCTGCGGCCGAAACCTTTCCCCAAATCTTCCTCTTGGAGCCTGGACTTGCGTATGGAGTGGGCTCCCTCCCCTTGCTCAGAGAGAGGGGGAATCCCTGATAATCGCCCGTCGTGCCGGAGGCAATAGAGTATCCTACCCTGTTCCTTTACAGGGCGGGCTGGTGCTCTTTGCAGGAAGGGGTGTGTGCGAGGACCTCCCTTACAAACCTCCCCATTGGTGTGAATGTTGAGAAGCTAGCCTCACCTGAGAATTGAGAGGGGCTTGGGAATTGGCCTCGCCTAAATGAGGAGGCCTGGGCTTACTGCAGTGCTCTAGTGTTGTTGTGTTGTTTCACCATTCTTTGTGTATAATAGCAATTGCTTTGTTAAATAATTAATCATTTCCTACAAGGGGGGTTAGCCAATAAAAGCCCACCCTCCTTGCTGAATTGGTAGTAAAAGTATGCCTGTGCCCATGGAGAAAGAAAAAAAAGAAAAGAAAAAAAAAGAAAGCAAGATTGGGCCCAAACGGGCAGACAACCGCAGTTTAAGAAAGTTAAAAGAAAGAAAGTAAGAAGTTAACTCTGTAATTACTGGTGGAAATTAAGCAGTGAAACGATGTATAAATGTTAAAAGAAAAATTCTTGGTTTCTTTGCAGCCATTCCTTTGGGAGTGTCTGTAAATAATCCAGGCAAGAGGTTATATAGGTAAAATCATTTGACTATAAAAAAGTTAGTTGAATTTGTAAAAAAAAAAAAACCACTCCTGGTGTGTATATTTTTTGTTTTATAAGTTTAAAATAAATTAATGTTGTTTTGGGGTTATAAAAAAACAAACAAACAAAAAAACACTTTTGCCAAACAAAGTAAACTAGTGTTGTTTAGTTTTGGTATTTAGCATTTAATCCTTAAAGCCTTAAAGTAACTTAATGCTTTACAAAATTTAAATAAACCGAAGTTGTGGCTGCAGCAGGGTAGTCAAAGCCAGGAGAATGGAAGATTTTAAATCTGTTTTGGTAACAAACAGCAAATAAAAGCTAATATCAACTAAAAAGCCACAAATTGTTCTTGAAGTGTTGCTGGGTACACCTTATACCCTGATCACCTTTGGCGCTCCCTGGACGGTTGCGCCTCAGGTGCTCTGGCCCTATTTGCTCGTGTGCATCCCCGGATGACCGTGCACCGTTGATTGCTGCAGTTAAATAGGACTTTTCCTCTGTGGCCCAGCACTACTGCCAGCAACATAATGATTAGGCAGGCAGCACTTTTCCCTCTTCGGGAACTTTTTCTAAATATTTGGATTAATTTTATTCAAACGTTTCAATGTTATAATTGTAAGTATGTGTTAGTTTTAGTGATGTATTTTCTTGTGAAAAGGGCAAATGCAAAAACTGTTGTAAAACTTTTGCTTAAGGATTTTGTATCACACTCTGGCATATCTGGACTGATTATAAAAGAGCTATGTGCAGCTCCACAGATCCAGTATGGCCAAATGCCCTTTAAAAGCCACTCCCAATCAAAAAACCAGATTCAGCCCTCATAACATTTTTACCAGGGCACCCAATGCAACTACCGGCAGTGCCCTGCTGGCCCTGGCTCAAATAAACAGTCATGTAATAAATTACACAATAGTCAGGCACTAACAAAATGTGTTAGGTCTTTTTATATACAGCACTCCTGCCACTCACTGTAACCAGAAGACTGGGTCTACATAAAGGTCCATCAGCAAAGAACTGCCCTGGCCCCATGCTAAGGGACTCTTATCAAGCCCTGTTAATTATCAACACGGCTGTAAAGTACTGAGAATTGACTACCCGCCCATGTTTCTCACTGAAACGGCTCTTCAACTGATTGGTCTATCTTTCCTTCTCCTCCTTCCGGACAACAGAGGTGAAGGAAGGGGGAAAGGTTACCAGCTTTTTGCCTTGTCCTTCACTTCTGGGTGGAAGGCTGGTGACCTCTCCTTTGTCCACTGACAAATCCACTAAGCCTTTGGATCTTGCTAAGAAAACAACTTCTCCACCTGAGGCCATAATAAAGCCTCCAACCAAGCAAGGTGATTGTGCTAGTAACCCCTCCCTTGCAGCCTCATTGCCGGACAGCTAAGTGAACTAAGACTACGAAATCTCGAAGAAGAGCTTGCGGAAGCTAGCCAAAACTACCTGAAGATAAAACTTTTAATATTCCTCAGCCTCTCCTCCTTAACAAACTTGGGGTGGGGAGGGAAAAAGTAATATTTTTCTAAATCTTGGCCAATCAGTAGCCTCCGATTTAGCCTGTACCATCAATATACCCCTACTCTAACATGACTGCCTCCTAGCCCATCGTTATAATCCCCACTCTCCAGCTACTCCCCCTCATATCTTCTCCAATTCCCATACAAATCTGTCTGGCCGTGGCCTCAGAAAAATTCAGGTCTCAGACCAACAAATGTGGTATAGCGCAGCCTACCGACGGGATTATCGCTTCCAATGGTGGATTGTGCTAAATGCTACTATGGGAACCACTACTCTCTCATTTCCCCTCTCTGCCTTCCAAATAACTACTCAATACCCCAATTGTACCCAGGGAACGGCCATTCGGTTAGCCCGGCTTGTGCAGTGGGAAAGTTTCCACTGAGGGAAAAGAGTCGTAGTAGAAGGGGTCTTGCATGGTCTAACTGGAGCAGCTGCTATCTGAACAATAAACAAGGCCCAAGACCACGAACAACGCCTGAAAAATTTGAAAAGGGCATCAGGCCTCCTTGCTAAGGCAGGGTTAACCAGCACCCACTCAAATATAAAACCCTCCATGCCCTGTCAGGACTGGGAACCACAACCCAAACCCTCTTAACAAAATTAATAAACACCCTCGTTTTAATAGGAAAAAACACTGGTTGGGATTCAGCTTGCAGCCAAATGCAGGATTTCTTTAATGTCTCTTAGCAAAAACGTGGAGCAATGTCCTCAGTCAGCGTTGGCCCAAAGCCCTTAACACCACTGCAGGAGTGCCACCCGAGCTGTGGAAATGAGGCATACGTGAACGTTATCAGGATGGGCCTGTAACTCCTTAACATGCTCCTTCCAAGCTTCGGGACCTCTTAATGGCACCTGGGCCCCAGTGCACTTACTTATGCCTGGACCCTGGGTGGGTGTCTATGGGACTGGGTTATCAGCCGGCAGGTATGGGAAGTCAAGCCACCCCACGGACCTAGCCGTTTTATCACCACTCCCCATGGTTTCGCTGCTCAACACGTCTGGGTGGGAATCAGAACCTTGTGTCGTTGTGGCCCTTGAAACCCCCCCAGTTATTTTGTCCCTGTAAGTTACACCCTGGGGAATTATTGAACATTTTTAATACAGTTTGTTAAAAAGGAGATGCTATAGGTAAGGACCCAAAAGAAAAATTGCTATTTAATAAAAAGGATGGTTGCGCCCTGCCATCAAATCCCCACATCCCTCTCCCCTTTCACCTTAACTTGACCACTGCACAAGGTAGCCGCTTTATCACATGGCCTGCTAATCCCCAAATCTCTGTATCCCTCCACCCAGTCGTCCCTCTTACCTTATTAAGTCTAAATGCTGCACTATGGCCGCTTTAGCAAATTACAATAATGATACCTACATGGCATCAGAGGAGGGAAATTGTGGGGAAATAGAACTGGGGGGCCTTCCTTTTAATAACCAAAGTGATTCTAAAGGCCCAAATTCAGACCCTCTGACAGAGCTCTGTTATGCTGACTGCCTTTACACAGAGCAGCACAGGCCTGGGCCTGAACAAGTTGTACAATTCCCTGCCAAACTCAGTCAAGGGTTGTGACCAGAGGAGGGAGGGGGAGTGAACAATGCAAGAGACCTCTGCACATAATAACCGCATGTTTATGAAATATAATAACCGCATGACTGAAGAAATTGATTTTGCAAAAAAGCAAGCTTCTCCTGCAGTTCCAGCTATCTGCAAAATCAGCCAATCATAGATCTTCCCTGAGCGTCCTGTGTTAACCCCCTATGCCAATAACCGTAAAACCCCGAAAAAATAATGTGTACCCCGACGAGAAATACCCCTAAACTGGTGCCAAGTAACACCCTTAACGGAAAAAACACCAAAAGGCCCTTACCTAATAGGCACCCAATTCTCGTAAAATAATAAGGAAGGTGCCGGGAATAGGGAGGCAGGTCCCAACTTTAATTTTTCCATGACGTATGATTTTTCCACGGTGCCTGCGGTTTGACGGAATAAAGCAGCCTGCAAGCTGCTGCTAGGTGTGTCAGTCTTCGGACTGCACCCCAGTGCACTGGTATGTGTGTCAATAAACTGGCCTCAGGCTTGAGTCTGTAAACTAAAATCAATGTATGGGTGTCTTTGACCACGACAATGGTCATCTGGTTAGAACTCTGGATCAGAGGATCTAGGTTTTATACCTGGCTCTCTCTAGCCTTGGGTGAGTTGTTCAGTTTCTCTGTGCCTCAGTTTCCCCTCTCCAGAATGGGGACAATGATCTTTATCGATCTCACTGAGCTGCTGAGTTGATAAATCCATTAGTGACTGTGAGGCCCTTGATGAGCATTATGGAAGAGCCAAGAGACAAAGAAAAACCTCTGCAAGGCAGCTCAGTATTCTCCCTATACTGCGGCTGGGGAAATGGAGGCACAAAGAGGTTAAGGGGCTTCCCAAGATCACAGTACGGCAGAGGTAGGAACCACGCCAAGAAGCACGGTTACAACAGAAACTCCACAACCGTCTAGGGAGGGGTGCACAAGGGGCACCCCAATCCTCAGGACACTTCTTAGATCGGGGGCTTTCCGGGGCAGGGACTGGCTTTGTGTCTGTACAGCCCCTGGTGCAGTGGGGTCCTGGGCACTACCGCAACACAAGTAATACTAATTAGATAAGTAGAGCAAAGTACGTATCCCTTTGTATTTCTCGTCTCAGTAACTGGGCAGAGAAGGGCCCCACCCCACAAGTACCTGTAGGTTCCGGGTGATCAGGTGGCATTTCTCTCTCGGGGTCAGCTCACCCCCCATCGCGTCAGCCTTTGACCAGTCAAGCCGTTACAAACTGTAATTAAACAGAAGACACGTCACGGGAGGGAGGGGAACCCTCCTGATAGTCATAGGGGGAGGACTCCTGTTGTGGTTTCCAGTACAGCCAGGGCACAGATCCCACTGCCCCTGCACACAGGGAGAGGCACACACCCTGCTGGCCTTGTGTAGTGGGAGGGGAAGCTGTGTGGGGCTCACCCCCCTTGCTGGTCTCTTGGCACAGCTCACTAGAGGGAATGGGCATGGCACCCACCCTGGGGCGGTTCAGACTCTGTTAAATATCTATAACTACCCTATAACCCTGGCAGAGAGGCATCTCTCCCCCCTCACAGACTGGGGGCAGGCAGGGCTGGGTAGTGGGGCACAGAGACTTTCACTCCCCAGCCACCGGTTTGAACCCATAGATTCCAAGGTCATCTAGTCTGACCCCCGGGTACAGTACAGGCCATAGAACTTCCCTAAAATCATACCTAGAGCAGAGCTTTTAGAAACCCCCCCCAATCTTGGTTTAAAAATTTGTCAGCGATGGTGAATCCATCACGACCCTGGGTGAAATGTTCCAATGGCTAATGACTCTCACTGTTAACAATTTACACCTTATTTCCAGTCTGAATTTGTCTAGCTCCAACTTCTAGCCATTGGATCATGTTAGACTGAAGAGCCCATTATTAAACATTTGTTCCCCATGTAGATAATTACAGACTGTGATCAAGTCTTCCCATAACCTGCTCTTTGTTAAGCGAAGTAGATGGAGCTCCTTGAGTCTATCACTACAAGGCAGATTTTCCAATCCTTTAATCGTTCTTGTGGCTCTTTTCTGAACCTTCTCCAATTTATCAACATCCTTCTTGAATTGCGGACCCCAGACCTGGGCGCAGGATTCCAGCAGCGGTCACACCAGTGCCAAATACAGATGCAAAATAACCCCTCCACTCCTACTTGAGAGTCCCCCGTTTATGCATCCCAGGATTGCATCAGCTCTTTTGGCCACAGCTTCAGGCTGGGAGCTCATATCCAGCTGATTATCCACCATGACCCTCAAATCTCTTTCAGAGTCACTGCTTCCTGGGATAGAGTTTCCCATCCTGGAATGTGGCCTACATTCTTTGTTCCTAGATATAGACATTTACATTTAGCTGCATTAAAACGCACATTGTTTGCTTGTGCCCAGTTTACCAAGCGACCCGGATTGCTCTGAATCAGTGACCTGCCCTCTTCATTATTTACCGCTCCCCCAATGTGTGTGTCGTTTCATTGATAATGTTAACTAGCATAAGGCCAAGAACCAATCCCTGAAGGACCCTACTGGAAACACACCCCCTTGATGATGATTCCCTGTTTATAATTACATTTTGAAACCTATCACAGTTAGCCAGTTTTTACTCCATTTAATGTGTGCCACGCTAACTTTATATCATTCTAGGTTTTTTAATTCAAAATATTGTAGGGTGCCAAGTCAAACACCTTACAGAAGTCTAAGTATCCTGCGTCAACATTATTACCTTTGTCAACCAAACTTGTAATCTCATTAAAAAAAGATATCAAGTTACTTTGACAGGCTCTATTTTCCATAAATCCATTGCTGATTTACATTAATTACATGACTCACTCAATAAAGAATTAAAGGAGAGTAATGTGTCAGCGACTCCATTACCTTGCCCAGGATCAAGGTCAGGCTGACAAGCCTACAATTACCCAGGTCATCCCATTTACCCTTTTTAAAAACTGGCACAACATTAGATTTCTTCCCGTCTTCTGGAACTTCCCCAATGCCCCAAGACTTATTAAAAATCAACATGAACAGTCCAGGGAGAGCCTCCGGAAGCTCTTGGATGCAAGATATCTGGACATGCAGATTTAAAAGTGTCTATCCTCCACCGAAACTAATGGAATGCAAAGAGTGTTAGCATCACCAGATGATGAGAGTATAAGCATCTGTTTCTCTCTCCCCCGCCCCCCAACTACAGAACAGGAATGTTTATTGCCTTTTCTGCATTATTATTGAGAATTCTACCATTTCCATCCAGTAATGGACCAATACCATTGTCAGGATTCTTTTTGTTCCTAATATATTTTAAAAACTTCTCCTTATTGTCCTTAACTTGGCTAGTCATAGATTTCTCCTTGTATCCCTTTACTTTCCTAATCAATTTTGTACAGTTCCCAACTTCTGAATTATATTCATTACTATCAACTTCCCCTTTCTTCTATTTTTTTTTTTTTTACACCTGCCTTTACTTCCCCTCTAAACCAGGTTTTTGCTCTTAACCCACTATGGCCTTCTTTCTAGATTATGGATTTTTGGACATCTAGTAAGGTCTTCTTATATGATTCCCAATTATCATTCACTTTTTTTCTGATTAAATTCTTCCTTACAGCTGATTTGGCTCATAACTGTTTTCAGCTTTGTGATATTGGTCCTATTAAAGTACCAATTATATATATTCCTGGTTTGGACTTTATTCTATTTGCACATTATACATGTGATCAAGTCAAGATTGCTTGTACTTAAGCCACCATTACTTTTTAGTTCTGTGATCAGAACTAAATCTGTTCACAGCTTTATCTGGTGTGGTCAGATGTTTGGCTACGTGTGTGTTCTCTCTGTGTGCTGCCCCAGCCGGCACAGCAGACCTCGAGCGAACCACCCAATGACCACAAGATCTGTTAATATTTACGAAGGTGCCAGGCCAGGTTTATTGTTGACAAAGCGCAGTAATAGCACCTGGCAGACGCTACAAGGATACTAAGACATGTATGCCCATGACAATGGGCACAGCTCAGTCAATGGCAGGACTTTCCATTCCCCCCTCGGCTGGCCAGAGATACTCCTTCTGAGATAAATCTTTATACCCTGATATAAACAGGTTACGTACTGTCATCCTGATCTTATCTTTTAGGAGGGGTCAGTGTGTTCCTGTTATCCTTGGGGAATGTTTTTGTACCATCCTTGATATCGGGATGTTCTGGTACTGCGTGATATCGGAATGTGTTTGTCTGAGTACTCTGTGACTATCACTTTTTAGGAATGTGTATTTCTGCAATATCAGCCCTGTTCTTGCCAGATTCTGTGAACGGTCTTGCCTGACACCAGGCCTCTGATACAAGGGCGTATGTTTCTACTACCTCTGGTAAAGCAAGATCTAATAAAGAATTCCTCTGTATTGGCTTCAACACTTCTTCAGTTATTAAACTGTCATATATAGTTTTTAGAAATTCCAATGATGCTTTAATACTGGTAGAATGAGACCAGCCCATATGTCACTCAAACTGAAATCCCCCATGATCACACAGCTTTTCCCCCCCCACTACACATTATAGATATGGGCTGTCCTCCTGTTCCCTTGGGCTATTTGGTGGTCTGTAGCAAACATCAACTAATATCCCACATCGTGCTTTATCTGTTAGAACACTGACCCATGAGCATTTAAAATCATTTTCTTCCGAGTTACCAGGGTCCCGGAAACAGCTGATGCCATTTTTGACAGGGAGTGCCCCTCCCTTTCCAGCCTTCCTAAATAGGTTACCACCATGGAAACCAAACATGCCAGTAACCTGAATCATCGCTCCAGATGTTCAGTAACACCACCTACAGTAATTCCAATGCCTTGTGTTTGTCACCCAGGCTTAGGGTGACCAGATGTCCCAATTTTATAGGGACATTCCTGATTTTGGGGTTTTTTTCTTATATAGGCACTTATTACCCCCCCCCCCCGCCAGTCCCGATATTTCACACTTGCTGTCTGGTCACCCTATCCAGGCTCCTAACATTGGAGGAGGGGGGGCATTATTTCTTCCCTTCCTGTCCTGTAGCTCCTTGATCAATGTTGCTCTCACCATATCAACGCTGTGCGGAGTGCTCCTCTCTTCCCTCCTACTCCCACCCCCCTTCTGCTATTACCTCAACGCCCCCCTGACAGCTCCCGCCAGCCTGTCCCCGCGGGGGCTGGTCCCGTCCCCACTACTCAGCCCCTCCCCCCAGAGAAGGGGCCACAGCCCCCCACCCCCCGCCGGCGGGGCAGGGCCTGGCGGGAGAGGAGCAGCAGGGCCGGCCCCACGGGGGGGCTGGCCAGGCCGCTACGCGCGGGAAGGGGTAGGCCGGGGGGGGGGGGCGGGGAGGGCGAGACCCCCCCCCCACCGGGCGGGGGGCGCTAGGGAGGTGGGGGGGCTTGAACAGCCCCGGTGTAACCCCCCCGCCCTTACCGTGACCCGACCCGCTGCTCACCGGCGAGGCGCCCCCGCTGCCCTTCTCCAGTCGCCGGCGCCGGGTTGCATCAGCTTCGCGCTGCGACTCAAGCGCCCCGGCCGGACACCGCTTCCGCTGCGGGGACAGGGCGGCGAGTCAAGCCCAGAGCGCGTCGATTGGGGGGCGTGGCCTCGCGGCGGGCGGGGGCGGAGCCTGTGATGCCCTTCCCACCTCCCGACCAGGAGCTCGCGTTAGTTAGTCGCGACTCGAGCCCCGGGGTCGCGTCTGGATTGGCGGCGGGTGAGTGAGTCTCCCCCGAGTGGGGGGGAGAGCGAGCGAGTTCTGACGGGGGGG